CGATCCATCAGGCAATGTTTTCCCTCTCTCTCTCTCTCTCTCTCTCTCTGTTGCTAAAGCGCTGTCAACAATTTTTTCCTCCATATCCCATAATGCACAGCGTATTGTCTTTTTTAAAAACCAGGAAAACTCCAGTTGATAAAAATCAGTAACTGGGTGGGACATTCACATGCCAAAACAGCATGTACATAAACAAACAGTCGATCCCACACACAGAGACAGATATGGAGCATCCATACTGCAGTGTGTGTGTGTGTGTGATTATGTAAGGACAGACAGTATTAATTGATCATACCTGCAGAGACGGCAGAATCTAAATCACTACAGGAGCTGATCCAGCACTCTCGCTCTCACACACACATTGTACTGTAGGATGATATGAAGGCTCACACACAGCATGAGCAGTGAATGACAAACATGACAAAAGCTCTGAAAACCAATACAGAGCTAACGCCCTGCACAAAATTACCACTTTGTGTGTCCTGTCCAGTCTTTATGACCGTTGCATCTAAAAGTGGAATGGAAAATGATTAGCCCTCCTTAATTAATTAATCTTTTTTTTTTACACCCAACACAATTTTAAATCTAAGTTTAAACATATTTTTAATAACTAGTTTCTTTTGTTTTTGCCATGATTTTGATATTGAAATAATAGTTTAGCTATTTTGCAGGATACAAGTGTTCAGCTTAAACTGCAAAAAGAAAAGCTTAACTTGATTAATTAGGTTAACTACGTTAAAGTAAAGTTAATTGGGCAAGTCATTGGACTGCAGCTAACTGAAAAAAATATTATTTAGGGGGCTAAAAACATTGAAAAAAATATGTAACAGAAATATGTAAAATATAAAAAAAATATGTAAATGTATAACACAACGTTTATATTACATTTTAAATCTTCATTTTGCGGGAGCATATATCTTTTAGTTTTTTTCTGGCATATAAACAAAATTGTGACTATCTAATAAGAACTATGTTCTGAAAATATAATGGACAATATTGTGAAAAACTTAATTGCCCCTTTAAACATAATATTAAATAAACATTATATTCTAGCAAAAGTACAAAAGAAGACATTCTGATGTTGAAATATAATGGAAAATGCAGTGAAAAAGATATCTGGGAGACTTTTGAAAGAACATTTTCAAGGCTGATAAGTTACTGTACACTATCAACTATCTTGTTATACAGTAGGTGGGAAACAGTGTGCAAAATGAGTAGCACATGCCAATTTGCAGTATTTACTGAAATGTAGAGACCAGTTTAATTCTAAATTGCACATCTAGTAGACGTTTTACTTTCCCGTAAGACCCTTGGCGAGAAGACATGAATGGCACTGGCATTTGAAAAACATTCTAAATTAACAGCATTAAATACGGCTGACTGATTCAGTATAAATATTTTACATTTTATATTTTTATATAAATATTAAATAAAATAAATAAATATGTATTTATAACAAATATTTAAATACATATTTACATTAATTCTATTTAAATTTTATAAATATAAATAAATATTGAAATAAATATTTTAATATTTAAATACACATTTGTTTATAATATTAACATACATTTTTTATTTTATTCTATTTTTTTCTTAACTAATCAACTTAACATAAAATATTTAAAGTAATATTCTTTTTATTCAAAGTTTACATAACCATCTGATTAATGCTTATGTGCTCAACAATGTACATGTAAAATCTCTCACTACTATTATTTTGTAAAATATCCAACATTGAGAGAACCTTTGTTACTTTGTTTAACTTTGTTTTTCTTACCTTATTTACTTTCCTTTGTTTTTCTTCCTAGATTGAGCTTACATATAAACACTAAACCAGTTGACATCATGCAGTCAGATGCTTTTTATTATCACTGCAATACTTGTTAATACTTGCATTTAAAACAGAGATCCATTGATTAAAAAAAACAAATAGTTGCAAAATAACTATATTTGAATGAATCAAAATAAAAAAGCTAAGTACTTATGCACAGTAAATAAATAAATTAAAATTAGAATCCAATCAGACACTATTAGATTCCGAATGCAGACAATGAGCTGATAACCAACCGCAAAACAGGAAGAGTTGATCCAAAACTTAAACGTCTGCCAATTATTTACTCAGTAAACCTGCATGACTTGTTCTTTTCCATATAAACAAAAAAGGTCAGTGACGCCAGGCTTTAAAAAGACAAAAACCATGGTAAACACATACTTAATCATACTTGTAAAGCTGCGGTGCAATGGGGAGGAGACGAGAGGTCATTTTTTGAATGAATGTTTATAATAATAATAAGGTCTGTCCACATAAAACTGTGAAATGTGACATACAGCGGAATTTGTTGTCCACCTAAAGTCATATTTTGTTTACTATATAGATAAGGCTAAAAATAAAATAATATCAAATAAGATGGTAATTTTCTTTTCTTAAACATTCAAGCATATTTATAATATAAAGCCTGTTGTACATTTTCAGAAGCAAATACCTTTATAAAAAAGTATATTAGTTAACGTGAAATAAACTCTTATAACTTGAAATAAAATTTTGGTCATACCCTCCATCCCTACAACACACTGACAAACACTTCTCTGCACCTGAAGGATGATGATCTGATTCTAAACACTAGTGAACTAAAACTAGCACTGGCTAACAGCAACCAAATCAAACAAACACAAATTATATATAGAAAAAAATATACACAACTTTCAGACAAACTGTATATAGAGCTACATCCTTTACAAGCTATTTTGATGCAAGTCCAGCTTCGTATTCCCGGATGTCTTAAATAAATCTGCCAAAAAATGTTTTGCACACACAAGCAATTTTTTTGCCTGGATATTCTGTTTATATATAAAACTAATTTATTTAGTTGTTCTGAACCTAGAAGTATGCCTTTTGGCCCGTTTTTACAGAGAGATACAGTCTAGTACACTTTTATGGCCATTTCTACTGTCAAAAGGTACCTAAAACCGAACCGCACTGTACCACTTTTTGGGTACCCTTTGCAAAGGGTACCTAGCATGACAAAAGGGTACCAAAAGGCAGAGCTAGATGCACAGCTGAACGCTATTGGTTGACAGGGAAACGTCACTACCGCATACACAAGCAGGAGGCTGAAAACAAAAAAAACTGCATTTTTAAATATGCAGCTGAGATTATTACATTGTAATAATATATACATATAATAGCAAGCCATGTTCAACCCGAGCTCAAACAAACCTTGCAGTCATCTTGATGAACAGTCACAAAGCCAAGAAGAACAAAAAAATCTGCCATGTCCTGTTTTTGTTTGGAAGCGTGAAAAAAAGTAGAAGCCGAAAAAACAAAGGAGCAAATGATTCTTTCTGCAACCTAAACCATGAACAAACTGCCATGTTTACCTATTATCATCACCTTTTGGACTATTATGAACTCGAAATAAAGGAATTACTTCCTGTGGACTAGACTAAAGGGCTTTATGTTGCGTATTGTTTTTGAAGCCAAATAAGGACTAAATGTATGCTGTGTGTAGTTCTTCTGTAATTGGTAACATATCGGAGACTGTGAGGGTCTGTTTGTGTTCATATATGTTTATTTATTTATCTTATACAATTGCATACGTTACAGTAGACTTTTCGCACATCATTGAACTGCAGTTCTAATCAAATAATGTTCATAGAAAGGTTAGTAATGAACATTTAAACAAGTATTTATGTGTATAAAGCCTCTGTTTTTTGAGAAGTGCTTCTCATATGATGTGAACGACCCATACAGCTTTAGTTTGAGCGAGATTTCCGAGCGAGAATGACATCGCTTGAAATTTTCTGGCGTACACAACGCCAAAAATTGGTACCCTTCTGGCAGTGGAAACGCAAGCCTGATATAGGTGACCCGTACCGAACCGTACCTTACCAGTCAGTGGAAACGGGCCATAAGACACATGTGAGACACCATTTTAAGGTCAAAATTATTAGCCCCTTTAAGCTATTTTTTTTCCAATAGTCTACAGAACAAACCACTGCTATACAAAAACTTGCCTTTTTACCCTAACCTGCCTATTTAACCTAATTAACTTAGTTAGGCCTTTAAATGTCACTTTAAGCTGTAAAGAAGTGTCTTGAAAAACATCTAATCAAATATCGCTTAATGTCATCATGGCAAAAATAAAATAAATCAGTTATCAGAGATAAGTTATTAAACCTATTATGTTTAGAAATGTGTTGAAAAAAATCTTCTCGCCGTTAAACAGAAATTGGGCAAAAAATAAACAGGGGCTAATAATTCAAAGGGGCTAATAATTCTGACTTCATCTGTATATTAAAAAAAGCTGGTTATGAATAAAAAAAAATAAAATAAATAAAAAAAGAGGTAAACAGGTCAAATATGCATATGCATATATATATATATATATATATATATATATATATATATATATATATATATATATATATATATATATATATATATATATATATATATACATACATATATATATACATACATATACATACATACATACATACATACATATACATACATATATACAAACACCCAGACAGCTTATAAAACAACTGCATGTTATCTTTAAAAAAAATTTTTGAGTTGGTGGACACAACACAATCCTAACTAAACATATAAAAGATTCATTCTACTGTTACCATTAATACTTAATCAACCAATATTCAGCATGTTTGCCATAACTTTTTTAGTTGGCTTATTGGTAATGTAATGACATGGGTATTCATAAATGTCATATTTTCTATTTTTGTGTCATCTGGTGATTTCAAACTGATTTACTTCCGCTTTTAACTATTCCATTCTATATTCAATCCTACTGACAACTTCTTAAAAACTTAAAGCACTTAAGACTTCTACAAAAACTTGAATTTCATGTCTCCTCCCATCATTATGACAAAGAGCTGAGATCAAACTAATAGACCCCTAAACAGTTCATAAATATATTTATAGGCGTTTCTAATAAATCGGTGTTTATATATCAAATAACAGGCTCATCATTTACCTTTTTTCTCTCCAGTGAAGGGGACAATGTCTTCTCTCTCTTTATAGTCCAAAGCCTCTTTCTCCAAATACTGCAAAAGTTTGTCACGGTTAAAAGGGCCGGTGTCTGTTTTTGACGTCTGGTCCTTCTGCCTAAGTCCGGCTGGCAGCAAAGCATTCTAGGTAATAGAACCACAACAGAAGTGCAGTCAGTTATTCAATTAAAACAAGGTTGGCCCATGGTAACCTTTGGTTTGGCCTGCCATCCCATTTGAAAAGAGAGGGAGACTGATGGGGAATTGTTTGGGGCGAATGCCTTTAACAGAGATCATCATTTCGAATTTAACGTATAACCTTTCGTTACTTTGTTTAACTGAGGAGCTACAAAAACGACTACTATAATTAAACTTTTCATATAAATCACTTTTAAAATGTAAATAATGTCACTTGATAGACAGAGGACATTGCACAAGACCAATCAAGCCAATCAAGGCAAAGACAGGAGCAGCTCGACTAGTCTGTTTAGTGTTGAGCTCCATTGTGTTATATATGGGATTGCTTATGTTTTACTATAATAAGTTGGTTATAAAACGTTACAAATTATATTGCTTCATCATTTAATACGTTTTAAAGCAACTTTTTCTAGTTATTTTTAAATAATAAGCAAACAAATGAGCAAATTTAAATGTAATACAGTTTGGTATGTTTAACTTCGGCCCACAGCCCTCAATCAAGTTAGGTTTTTGGCTCTTTATAAGCAAAAGTCTGGGCACCTTAGATTTAAGTGTTTACTTGTTAGATCTGAACCTGAACACAGATTTTAAGAACAACTGCTGAGATATTTAGCGATTCACGAAGAAGCTCATGAGTTTTGGAGCAAGTTTGAGCTCTGTTTATGCATAAACAAACAGACACGGAGTTGTTCGTGAAAGGTCAAAACACAAATTGTTCAAGGCAGAATAAGTGAATGCAAAATAGTAATTTCTCAGCACTTCTTATCATTGCAGTTATGGGCGCACTTATCATCATAATAACAACAGCATTACTGTGAATTACACCAGCACACTGACATCAGCGATTTTCCAGAAATTAAAGGTAAAAATTTTGGTCTCACTTTATATTAAGTGTCCTTAACCATGTACTTGCATCAAAAAAAAAAAAAAAAATACAATGCACTTACTGTGTTCATGATGTATTTGAGAACACTTGTGGTGCTTTTTAGTTGGGATAGAGGTTGGGTTATAGACAGGTTTGGTATTATGGGTTAGGTTTAGGGGGGTGGGGGGGGGGTGGTGTGGGGTGTAAGGGATGGTCAAAAGTGTATTTACAAATGTAATTACAAAAGTTAATTACGGATGTAATTACATACATGTATTTAATCAAGCATAAGTATACAGTAAATACATGTATGTACACAATAAGTACATTGTAACAAACTATTAATTCTTGTGTAAGTACATCTTAGTTAAGGCCACTTAATATAAAGTGGGACCAAAATTTTAAATAATTAAATGTCTTTAGGAACTTACATGTTCATTTTAATTGGCCTGAAACAAACAGAAACTAGACAGGTCTGCTGTATCGGTAACAAAAATGAATATTTGTTTGTTTTTATTTTTTTGAATGCATTTTATTCTTGTCTTTTTTTCCATCAACAATATTTTACGCTGATTTAGTCACTGTTGCCATCTAATGATATATATGCTGTGCCATTTTCATATTATCTTAGTCCTGAAAAAAAAAGGCCATCAGCAAACATCATTTATCTTTATTTTCATTGATGATATTAACTCTTGATATGGTGGTAAAATCTTCAGTAGATGTGGTTTAGTCAGAAGTGTGTCCGTGTCTCTCACCTCAGGGTCGATCTCCTCAAGTGCGCTCTCCAGTTGCTTGAGCTCCTCCTCTGACAGTTTATTCAGAATCTCATCCTCATCGATCTCCTTATACTTCTCCAGATCTTTCTTAAAAGGAAGAGCCATGATGTACACCGTCTGTCAAGGAGAGACTGCAGTCCAGTTTGATTGAGCACCTGCATACACAAAAAAACAATGTTGAAATGTTTAAGGTAAACATGACAGGGTAATAAACTGATGTATGTGATTGGCCAAAATAAAGCACACGCTGCAACGCAGAAGTGAAGTTTGTCAGTAACAAACCTCTGTTCTTGACTGGCCAATTGAGTTACCACCTCCAAGATCTGTTCACACTATAAAAATACAGTAAATATATAATGATAACTATATATTAGTGTTTACAACAGTGGGTGATAATCTTATATTTTTCCAAGGAAGCACTGTCGTTTCATCACCACTTTAAATGTCAAGCTCTATAGACCTTTTTCTTGGAACGCAAAATTACCCATTATGCTTTGCGTGTATGCAGTGGCGTAGCGGACGGGCCCGCAGGGCACGCACCGCGGGGGGGCCCCGCGTGATTAGGGGGCCCCACGTCGTCGCGATTTTTAATAATTGAAAATCCAGGAACCGCAATAATCAAACTCTTGGGAACAACTGTGGTCGGAACCAAAGTTTACAGGTCTGTGTTCTCTGAACTCCGCTCAGGCGGTGGACTACTTCATTCTGATTGCTTGCCGCCGAACCGCGTCATAGCCAATGAAGACGCGCCGCTGTTTCTCGCCGCCGGTTCTCGTTAAAAAATGAATGACTTCTGGCTACTTTGACGCTCTCGTTACTTTCGGTTTGTGATCGCTCCTCAGTTTGAAGGATTCCCCGCGTTGTCACGCCACTCCGCCTCCTTTCCCCGCTCCTCAATTTGTGACATAGATATATACACTAGATATCGCATAGGGACCCTGAGCATGCGTCTATAGCGCCGCCACATTGGTACAGTGCTCCCAGGACAAATGTCATTCAACAGCACTAGTCAAGACAGTGTTATTACGTGAAGATGCAGGACTTAAGCGCCGTCTACGAGTGTAGTAACGAGCAAACAAAGAAAACAAAGCACAAAGGCAGAACATTTCATAGGATTAAGTTTTTTACGTTTTTGTATGTTTTTAAATTTGTGCTAAACAGGTCACGTTATTGATAATAATAGCTATAGTCACTTACTGCATTCACCATAAGGCAAAGTAGCACCAACTCGCACTAAACGCTCGGTTTATGCTAGGTTTGTTGAATAAATCAGCAAACAATGCAAAAGAAATATGACAAAGAGATGCTGTGGTGCCGGAAACTTGTATTATTGTCGGCTAGTGAACGAGTCGTTCATAACGGAGATTCATTCACAAACGAATCGCTCCCTCCGTCAGTATGAGAAGTGAAAGCAGGAGAGGAGCTGTATTTCAGCACATGATTAGATCAAATTTAACAGGGAGAGTGAATAGTACATTTACATACACACAAACACAAGCTTTTTGTCAGGAATGCCCGTGCGATAAGTGATCCATCAATGTAGAAAAGTGATGTCAAATAAAAACTTTCATCATTAAAAAAAAATGCATACTAACATCCAGGAAAACTCCCGATCATAGACATATGTGTATATGTGTATATCTATGTGTATACCCCCCCCCGCCTTCAACTGGGGGCCCCGTCGGTGATCCCTGCAGGGGGGCCTCCGCATTTTGCGCTACGCCACTGCGTGTATGCGCAAGGAGAACGCGAAGAACTTCCGGTCGGCAGCTGATGCGTGTAAACAGTCACATTTGGACAGCTTTGAAACGATAGTTTTAATCTATTTTACCTGCTTTTATCCTCTTTGAACTAATACTGTTGTCCATAAGCACCATCTCCTGGACTGATCATTTAAAGAAATGCGATCTAATAGGATGGAAAACAGCTGCTGTGAGGCATTTTCCCCTCGTTGTCAGACGGCATCTTCTGCAGTTTAAATGAAGCCTCGTCATCGCTAAAGTCAACAGTTTCTCTTTCTTTCAAATATATAACCAGCCCAAACAAATGTAATTCACCAAAATGTTTGACACACACACGTAGTCTGTACTGTGCCACTGACACACTGATTTAATAACTGCGACAAAGTGAAAATATAGGCTAGTGTCATTTCGAAATGACAGAAAAACACAAACCGTGGTAAAAACAACACACGAAATAAAACACAAACGGCTCGCGATTAGAATGAACAGCAATCAGCCAGCAGAGTATCAATAACAGACTTTTATTGGTCATTTTTGTAAATTGCACAACTTTCATACCTGTTAAGTTTCATGCCAGTACTCTGGTTTGCTCTCTCTCTCTCTCTCTGTGCGTGTGTGTGTGTGTGTGTGTGTGTGTGTGTGTGTGTGTGTGTGTGTGTGTGTGTGCGTGTGTTAAAGAGCCGCTGAGCTAACAGCTGACAGGCTGGGAACACACTGCATTTCTGACGGCAGACACGTGAACTAGGAGAACGTTTTTCTCGTATTTCTGACGCGCTTGAACCACATGTGACAGATTATAACGGCTTTAACAGATACATTTCAAAGTTGTGTCACAAAAACACTCTGTTATCCATTAAAAACGCTATTGAAACCCATTTTCAGAGCGCAAATTACCATTTGTAAAAGCTGTAAACGGAAGTTTTTAGCATTCTACCGGAAGACGCTGGTCGCTATGGCGCCCTCCATGCAGCAGCCATGACAAAGGTCTATAAAGCAACATAAATTCTGCTTAGCTTTTGTTTTTGTTTTTTTCCTAGCTGAGGGAAAACAATGGTAATTCGAACGATGTTGTTCAATTGTGCTATTATCATGCACAGTTGTAGTCAGAATTATTAGCCCCCTGTTTATTTTTTCCCCAACTTCTGTTTAACAGAGAAGATTTTTTCAGCACATTTCTACACATAATAGTTTTAAAAACTCATTTCTAATAACTGATTCATTTTTTCTTTACCATAACGACAATAAATATTATTTTACAAGATATTTCTATTCAAGACACTTCTATACAGCTTGTGGCTGATTTATACTTCTGCATCAAGCGCACGCATATGCTACGGCGCAGCCTACGCGTTGACGCATAGCCCTACACCGTGGCCATCGCTGTTGCACACCTCTCAAAAAAATGCAACTACATGTCGCAACGACACGTAGCACAAGCTCTGTGATTGGTCAGCTTGGTAGCGCTGACGAGTCTGGGCGAGAGCCGCGCGAGCCCGATGGAGTGATTGTTTACAAGTGTGGAGTCACGTGAAGGAGCTGGAAAGTTTTGTTTTGTGTTTGCCTCATGGTTAAAGTTGTCACGTCCGCCAGTTCCTGCCTCAAAATGAGCGAGTTTGAGCCACTTGTACATTAAGGAAGCATTCAGAATAAGCAATACACCAGCGAAGAAACTCGACACAGAGGAACACCACACTGCCAACTAGCATTTCAGAAGTGTTATTGCAGAACAACAGAAACAGCGCACAGAAGTATAAATGCATAGCTACGCCAGTTGCATGCGCCGTGGGTCACGCCAATCACTTAACGCAAAAGTATAAACCAGACTTTACAGTGACATTTAAAGACTTAACTAGGTTAATTAGGTTAACTAGGCAGGTTAGGGTAATTAGGCAAGGTATTGTATAATGATGGTTTATTCTGTAGACTATCTAAAAAATTGCTTAAAGGGGCTAATAATTTTGACTTTAAAATGGTTTTTAAAAAAATTTAAAACTGCTTTTTTCTAACCGAAATAAAACAAATAAGACATTCTCCAGAAAAAAAAATATTATTATACATACTGTGAAAATTTCCTGAATCTGTTAAACATCATTTTGGAATTATTTAAAAAGAAAAAAAAAAATCAAAGGGGGGGGGGGGGTTGGGGGGGGTGCAATAGATCTGACTTTAACTGTATTTTATAAATAAATGTCAACATATTTTCTGCAATCTTTCATTGCAAAAAAAAAAAATTAAAAATGTTTAGAAATCTTATTTCTAGACCAAATATCTAAACAAAATTTCTAGGTCAGAACACAACATGTCTTGTTTTCCAAAATAATAAGTCAAAATCAAGTAAAATGAGTAAAATAATCTGCTAATGAGGCAAGCAAAATTGTTTATTTTGCTTACCTCATTGGCAGATTATTATGCTTGTTTTAGGAAAAAAAAAGATTTAAACTTGATTTATTATTTCTGAAAACAAGACAATGCTTTTCACTTGTCTAGAAACTGCTTCTTGATTGATTGAAATTGAAGAATTTATATTAGATATTTGTAATTAGAGTTTAAATACCATTTTACGTGAGATTTATTGCCATAATACTGAACGCAACAGCTGATAGTTCACCTCAGATCAACTCGTATAGTTAGTACATGGTGTTTGTGTGTATGGTGGATTGTACAAATATTGCTTTTCGTATCATTCAAAACTTCGTCGATTTAAAATTGTTCTAAATTTCACGATTTCTACAAAAAGTGCGTCCCCGTAAGCTGCAGTGGCCGTGCGCATCCTGTCAAAGAAAGTCCACTTACTACCATTACATAAATAACTTCACAAACACAAGATGAGTTTTTCCACCAATCAATGAGAAAGAGTGAGAGTGATAGAGAGAGAACAACACAGAGAGAGAGAGAGAGAGAGAGAGATAGATTACTAAACTGATCCTACATGTCCTCTGTGTGATATGACAGATGTTGCCCTCCCTCACGACCTGTAACCTTAGGCTGAAACTTAATTTCTCAACAATTTATTCCCATCTGGAAACTCTGTGACCTTTGAACTTCACTCCCCTGCAGAACTGCACCATCTCCAAATTCCTCAGCTTCTACATCAAGCTGCGGTGTTTCAGCAAAGATATGAATCATAATAACAACTTCTGTACACACTCACTCCTGGGGGATTGTTGATGCAGTAAGTGTAGTGTATATCGTTTCCAGACATGGAAAACTATATACTTTTCAAATCCATTAGTTTGTGTATTGTCACTGTATAATTATGCTAGTTAAGGTACTTGGCAGGCCCTATGACTTGTGTGATGCAGAAATGCAACAGAACTGTAAAATGCTTGCATTAAAAAAGAATTTGGTACAAAATGGCTCAGGATTTGGCCAATTTTGGATAAATCAAAAGTAGTACTGCACACCCAATCCAT